CCAGAGTCACCCTTCACACAGCCTCTGCTTCTAACCGCAGCCCCCACAGGAGTTTGTGGGATTTCTGTGCTAGCGGAGAACGTGTTCTCACCTCATAGAGCCAGGTAGAAACTCTACGCAGTCGGGTGCTGTTCTCTGGGATGAAAGCAGGGCCTTTGGTGCTGTTCTTTGTGATAAAAGCAGTGTCCCTGTTCGGTTGTAGACACAACACGCTTGCTTTCTGTAGGGGAACGGGAGGGCTCTCCCCGCGTCCAGGTGCCCTTGCTCACGTTCACCGAGGCCTGCAGATCGGAACCGCAGTCTCACCTGTAGGCAGAAAGGGCTGCGATCTATCCCAGCTACCCGAACTACCCAGCAATAAAATAGGACACATTACGGAAACATGAGATGGCATGGATAATCTCAAAAACATTATGCCGAGTGACGAAAAGAGGGCATCCTGTGAGGCACCATCAAGGTGAATTTCTAGAACAGGCAAAACTAACCTGTATAGTGACAGAAACTACATCATCGATTGCTGGGGTCAGGCAGAGGGCGGGACTGACTGCAAAGGGCACGAGAGGACCTTTTAGAGTAATAGGCACGTCATCAAACTTGAAATGGATGCGTTGTACCATAGTCGATTCACACCTTAATCAACTTGGTTGTAAAAAGGAACAAGAAAACCACTCCAAATCTTAATGTCTTCTACTTAATTTAGTGTATGTTTACCCTTAGAGGATTCCTTTAGAAAAATGTCTCTAACTGTGATTGGGAGTTGAGGAATTCCTTCATTTGTGTTTCCGTCTCTTTGTCTGCAGTTAAGTTCATGCACTATTAAATGGGATATTTGTAAAATAAAAATAGAGTCTAAGCTAAATTTTGTAAAAGCATACATATATGCATCTTTATTATTTTATTATTTTTTCAGGTATATATATCCTTATTATTTTTTCTTCTTTTTCTTTTTTGTGGCCTGGCGGGGATAGTCTAGCTAAAATATACATTCCTGTCTCTGTAGATATACCACAAGACCTTTACTCCAGTGTTGTTCAAACGTTATGAGAAATTAATTTTAAACTAAAGGTGATCAAAAATTTTACATATGTTTACGTCTTCTCTACTGTTAGTATGGTCTATGCTTAGCATGTATAATTTTTTTTTTAAAGACAATAGCTTAACAGTGATTTGGAAGAAAAATATGTACCTATGTTAACAGTAGTTAATTCCAGGAGGTGTGAATATGGATGACCAGTTATCTTCCCCTTTATGAATTTTTTAAATTTTTAAATGGAAAATCCTCAATGACCTGGAAGTGGAAGAACAGATTAGATATGGAAGGGGTGTGGGGCAGGTGAGAGGAAAATGTGAAGAGAAGGACAAACCCAGTTCTAGCAGGACGGTGTTTAACTTGAAGGTTTCTGGGGATCAGTTGTTGGGATAAGAAGAATATGGGGGAGGCAGGAGAATCATGAAAATATTTAGGACAGTGTATCGCCTGTCTTATCATTCTTCCTCCTTTTGTATTTCTTCAAAAGAAATACACAGACTTACGTTTCTTTTCAAGCATGCTTACCATTTGTGTTTCTCTTTTATTAATGTAACTGCCCGGTAGGTTTATCTTGCCGATTGTCCAGGTAAGGCTTTCTACAATAGAGAAAGAATTTAATAAATGCAGAGGTAGCTGAGGGACCAGGACAGGGGTTTATTATTACTCAAATCTGCCAAAATTCAAAGACTAGGGTTTTTTGTTTGTTTGTTTGTTTGTTTGTTTAGGATAGTCTGGCAGGCAGGGGGCTAGGGAATGGGCAAAGCTGATTGGTTGGGTTGGGGATGGAAACACAGTGTCAGAGCTTGTTTACTGCACTGAGTCAGTCCCTGGGTGAGAGCCACAGGACCAGATGAGCCAGTTTACCGGTCTGGGTGTGCCAGCGAGTCCATCATAAGGCAGGGTCTGAAAAATATCTTGAACACCAATCTAAGGTTTAACGCTAGCAATGTTATATATAGGCACAGTTGGGGAGCTTAGGAATCGTGTGGCTGCTGGCTGCATGGCTCCTGAGCCATAATTTCCAATCTCGTGCCTAATTTGTTAGCTTTGCTAAGGAGGTCTGATCCCCAAGATAGGAAGGGGTTTGTCTCGGGAAGGGGTAATCATCTTTGTTTCAGACTTAGACTTGGAACTAAACTCCTCTTAGTTAGCCTGGCCTGTGCCCAGGAATGGACAAGGGCAGCTCAGAAGTTAGAAGTAAGATGCAGTCAGTTAGGTCAGATTTCTTTCACAGTCATAGTTTTCCCATGTCAGGTTTTTCTCACTGTCATAATTTTTGCAAGGGTGATTTCGTTAGGAGCAGTAAAAACACAGTGGTTCTGAGAACGTCTTCTGGAGCCAGGCTGCCTTCACTTCAAATTCCTGCTTTCAAATCCTCCTTTGCTGGCTGAGTGACCCTGGGCAGGTCACTTAACGTCTTCGTGCATCTCAGTTTTCTCACATGGAAGGTGAAAGTGATAGTGTGACCTCGGCCTGAGGTAAGGACTAAATGAGTAAACATATGCACTCATCAACTGTGCATAACATGTGGCACTTTGTGATTCAGGCACAGTTGATAATGTGCATATGTTACTCATGTGCATGTTAGCTCTTGTATTTTGCCTGCAACACTGCACAAAGAGCAGATGTGATGAAAACCGGTTGTACTGAAGTTACAGCAGTGATACTTTCCAGTGACCCTGCACCATCCCAGGGAGACTGCAGCAATCCTCTCACCAGCAGTAACCTCCTGAGCTGGGAGGTCCAGGAAGGCCCCTCAATCTCCAGCAGGTTTGACCTTCAAGGAGCTTCAGAGGAGTAGAGAAGTATTTCTATCTGGGAAGAACTGGGAGTTTATTAGCTCATCGTACAGCTCATCCAAAGGGAATAATGATTCCAATTTCTGGCTTCAAATCTGCCAAATAAATTCTTATAGTTTTGACCGGGTGCAGTGGCTCACCTTGTAATCCTGGCAAGTTTGGGAGGCGAGCGGGTGGATCACCTGAGGGTCAGGAGTTCGAGACCAGCCTGGCCACGTGGTGAAACCCCATCTCTACTAAAAAAATACAAAAAGTAACCTGGCGTTGGTGGCGGACGCCTGTAATCCCAGCACCATCGGCGGCTAGGCAGGAGAATCGCTTGAACCCGGGAGGCAGATGTTGCAGTGAGCTGAGATCACGTCATTGCACTCCAGCCTAGATGACAGTAGAAGACCCTGTCAAAAAATATATATATTTTTTATAGTTTTATAGTGGAAGACATTTCTACATGTAGGGGAGGAAAGATGACTTTTCCTCACCCAGCCTAGGTTCACTGCTGAGACCCTTACAGCAAAAGACAGACTAATAAGAGAAGAGCATATGTATTTATTTAATGTACGTTTTACATGACAGGAGCGCCTTCCAAAGGAAATGAAGGCCCATGGAAACAGCTAAACCTCAGTTTTTTGTTTTTTTTTTTTTTTTGTTTAACAGTTTGTTGAAGAATGGATAATCATGGAGAAGTATGATAAGACAATAAGAGTATGACCTAGCAGTAACAAACTGAGGAAAATGTAGCCCGGCTTCTGTGTTCAGGCTCTTCTCTGTGTCCCTGTGTCTTCAGAGTCGAGGATGCACCTTTCCTCTGGGTACAGAGAGGGCACCTCTCACATAAGTGTCTTTTAATCGACTTAAGAGAAGAAGGGCAGCAGGTAGTGGGGTGACAATGACCTTCCTGCTTCTGTTGTTTACTCAAATTCCTTTAGCATAAAATATTCAATACCCCAAGATGTTATATTTTGGAGTAGCATGTCCTGAACCCCATCATGCACATGCAACAAAACCCAGAATCTTTGAAGAGTGATGACTACAAAATATTTAAATTCAAAATACAAATGATGACAAAGTAGGGTGGCTCATACCTGTAGTCCCAGCAGGGAGGTGCAGGGAGGTCCAGGCAGGTGGATCACTTGAGTTCTGGAATTCGAGAGCTGCCTGGCCAATATGGCGAAACCCCATCTCTAGTAAAAATACAAAAATTAGCCCAGCATGTGGTGCATACCTGTTGTTCCAGCTACTTTCAGGGGGTGGGGAATGAGTGGGCTGAGGATCAACTGAAACAATATCATATTTACAAATTATTTTTTTCCTATAAGGCTAGTCAAGTGAAGCAGTGGAAGTGGAGAAGGAACAATGAAACCTGTAACTGGTTGTGATCAATTATTTGTAAACAGGAATGAATTTTTATGCACTATACACTGTTGTCAAATTTACATATGCTGCAAAACTGGAGGTGAACAGCAGTGCCCCGGTCCCGTTCCTACACTTATCTCTAGGGATAGCAATTTTTTTTTTTTTTTTTCTGAGACGGAGTCTCGCTCTGTCACCCAGGCTGGAGTACAGTGGCCGGATCTCAGCTCACTGCAAGCTCCGCCTCCCGGGTTTATGCCATTCTCCTGCCTCAGCCTCCCCAGTAGCTGGGACTACAGGCGCCCGCCACCTCGCCCGGCTAATTTTTTTGTATTTTTAGTAGAGACGGGGTTTCACCGTGTTAGCCCCAATGGTCTGGATCTCCTGACCTCGTGATCCGCCCGTCTCAGCCTCCCAAAGTGCTCGGATTACAGGCTTGAGCCACCGGGCCCGGCCTGGGATAACAATTTTTAACGCGTGCAGCCAACCTGTACATAAATATTGTTACTCTTTGTCCAATTTTCCTCCCCAGGCCTTGCAGTCCAGCCTGAAAGGGGAAACAGAGTTTGTGTGTTTCCTTACCTTCTAGTCCACTCCAAGGAGCCAAGAAGGCGTCATCTCACCCCCCTCAACCCCGGCTTGTCCTCCAAACTGAGCCCTTCAAAGACTGCGGTGATTTTTAGTCCTTCGTAATCGCTCTCAGCCCCAAAACATGAAAATGAGAGCGATGGTCCTGAGCGCCTGGAGCGACATCTTAGTTCGCTCCCAAGAGCCATCAGGAACCTCATCCCAAGTGCTCTGAAGAGCAGGAGAGAACATTTTTAACTCCGGTAGCGTCCTAAGGCGTCTTCTCCTTGGGGCAGGGTTCTGACGGGACGAGGGGGAGCCCCACCGTCAGGGACTCGCCCCTCAGAGCTGCTCAGGCTCCTCTTCCCCGTGGTCCTGCGGGAGCTCGGCCGGGGCGGAGGAGGATCAGAACCCGCGCTCCCAGGCCGTGTGCTTGAAGAGGCCGCCGGGAGGATTTCTCCTTCCGGCTCAGATCTTGGGATAAATAAATGAGATTTCCCGGAGACAGGTTCCGAAGCTTAGTGAAACAGTGACTTTTAGGGTCCGCAATAGAGACGCAGGCGCTAAAGATTCGGCATAAAAATCTTAATATGAAGAAGTGAATAAATTAACATTCAGAATCAGAGGGACCATGTGAATAAATCAGTGCTACTCCCTAGTTAGGTCTCCAACCATCCATCCTAAGCTGAGACACAATCTCCAATGACTGAGCTAACCGCATCAAAATTTCCCACGTCACCATTTACTTACCAAAATGACAATGGGTGACATTACGAGATTTTCCGGGTGAAAGGAATCTCTGGGTCTAGGACTGAGGGGCGGCAGCCTTTTTAGTGGAGGAGACCTCTCACCCCGAGGCGGGGGAGCGGGAGGTCCGGGCCTCCGATTGCTGGGTGCCACGAGGCTCGCCCAGGAAGGGGACCCTGCAGGCTCAGTGATCCCGACTGGATGATTCAGCAATTTCCCTGTGGTCCCGGCCACTGTAAAAACCCGGCTTCTGGGACCCCGAACACCGAAGACGGAGACGAAGAGGGGACAAGGAGCACGGGGGACATCGCGAGGCTTAGACAGCGGGAGCAGAAGGGACACGGAGGCCCGCAGCTCAGAGCTTGTGGACGTCAGTGGAATCCCCATTACATTTAGGGAGTAAAACACGGCACTACCGTCCTAATTAAACAGAAAGGTACACAAAGGTTCCACCGAGACTCGAACTCGGATCGCTGGATTCAGAGTCCAGAGTGCTCACCATTACACCATGGAACCTCACGATGCAAATTTGCTGGTGGTGTCTGAATTCCTAATAAGTGGCAATAGTTCCCACCCACCCATGTCAAGGCATTTCTATTATCCCACAAGCAACACTCGAGGAAGGTGGATCAGTAGGAAAGAGCCATCCCTTGCTTTCTCTCTGCCCTCTCCTTTGATCGGCTCCTATCATTGCATTTGTACCTCGGAAAACGAGGCAACATCCACTGTGGGTTTAGGGCCAGAGAAGAGCCCTTGAAGCCTCCGTCATAAGAGTTTCCTGTGCCGAGGTGAAATTCCTTCCTTCCTTCCTTTCTTCCTTCCTTTTCTTTCTTTCTCTCTCTTTCTCTTTCTCTTTTCCTTCCTTCCTTCCTTCCTTCCTTCCTTCCTTCCTTCCTTCCTTCCTTCCTTCCTTCCTCTTTCTTTCCGCTTTCTTCTTCTTCTTCTTTCTTTTCTTCTTCTTTCTTTCTTCCTCTTCTCTCTCTCTCTCTCTCTCTCTTCTCTCTCTTCGTTCTTTCTTTCTTTCTTTCTTTTTCTTTGCATTGAGATAGAGTCTCCTTTGTTGCTCAGGCTGGAGTGCAGTGGCAGTGGGCAATCTCCCCTCACTGCAACCTCCATCTGTTGGGTTCAAGTAATTGTAAACCCCAGTAGCTGGGATTACAAGCGTGGGCCACCATGCCCGGCTAAATTTTGTATATTTAGTAGAGATGAGGTTTCACCATGTTGGCCAGGCTGGTCTCAAATTCTTGACCTCAAGTGATTTGCCCACCTTGACTTCCCAAAGTACTGGGATTACAGGTGTGAGCCACCGCGCCCAGCCTGGAGATGAAATGTCTGCAAAATTTCTATTATTTTCTTTATGCTTTCCCTCTTTTCTGTTTGCCCAAAGAGGCTAGATGATTGTCAAAACAGGACAAGGGACTTCCTGGGCGCCTTGCCCCCTTCCTCCCTGTAGTATATAATAGAAGACAGCAATCAAGTGAGATTGGGAAGCAGGGAATCCCTCATTTTCTTCTTCATATACATCTATGTTTGGTTGGTTGGTTGGTTTTAACAAAATTTTCTCACCAGAAATGGAGATTTGTTGGATTTAAAATAAATGCAATCTGCCATGTTTTATATTTCTATAAAACACTCAAACCAGGCCATACTCACCTGCTATGACTCAAAATCAACCATATACTGTTGAGGTCAGGAGACAGAGCCCTGACATTTAAGCTCAGGGTGTTTTCTCTGAATTGGCCAAGTTGATGCCATTCCAATTTCTCAATATCTCATGATCCATTAATTGCAGTCTGTAAAAGCGCACATGTATTGTTACTGAAAGCCCAGGAGTTCGGTCTAGGCCCTGCTGCTCAGCTCACAGAAAACCAATCATTGAGACATTGAGTGTTGCCGAGGAAGAAGGATTTAATTGGGTGCTGCAGCTGAGGAGATGGGAGATCAGTCTCAAATCAATCTCCCAGATCAACTAAAGTGAGGGGTTTATTTAGCAGGGAAGAAACGTAACTGTGTGTGGGAAAAGAGGAACTAGGGAAGGGTGAGGAAGCATTCATGATGAGTGAGGGGGCTGACATCTTATTGTTTGGAGGCTGTGATCTGCTGAGTTTCAGGTCTATGATGCTTTTTGAGAGGCCTGAGGGTCCTTTCCTGAGGAAGGAACTCAGATAAAACAAATGTAAGTTTCAAGCTTTAAGACCAGAAGGGTCCATTTCTATGTCCAAAAACACTGTCTATGGGACTATTGGATCGATTTCAGCCCCCACTTTCTATTTGTCAGTTCTTCAATCATGGGGAATCTGGTCATCCAGCTTCCTGGCTGTGTCATGTGGAGAAGGGGCACCCTGAGCAGCTCCACACCATGGGTGACCACATGGCCACCCAGGAATCAAACGTTCATCTAATACTGTAGTTTCTCCTGAAACACAATCTTCCTCTCTCCAGTTCCCCATTTCCACTAAAGACAAAACACAGCAGGACCAACCTACCTGCAAAAGAAGCTTCAGTTCCGTATACTTGGCCTGATTACCCACACAAAGTGCAGCAAGAATCATTGTTCATATAGGCTCTCCTAAATGGACTTTGCTGGGACATTTCACAACGCCATTTCAGGCAAAGCCCTGGGAAAATTATCAATTCCTCCACCTGTGTCAGGTTATAAAAGAAAACAGAATCTTATTGAACTTATGCAAACAAACACATGGTCATGAGTTAAGAATATTGAGTTTACAAATTCTGGAGAAATTTGGCAGAGAGAAAAATATGCCTCAAATTCTGTTTAGAGGACTATTCTACTCAATTGTTGCAGGCTATAAATAGCTCAAAAGGAAACAAGTTCTCCAGACTCTGAAGAATCAACAGTGTTTCAAACAAACAAAGACCATAAAAACTTATTTCAGTCCTCTATTAGTCCAATCCATGCAATCATCTCCTGCTCTGCTTCATACTGGGCTAGCAATCTCTATGAACACATCAGCCTTTCTATTAGTGCCTTGGAAATTTTCTCTTTGGTTCAATGGCATGATCTCCAAGTTATCAGAAACCTGCATCCAAGAATCCTTTTCATGGACTTCCCCAAAGAACCAAGGCCTGGACTGTAACTGATTATAAGTAACTTTTTAAAGAAGAATCAAAGCAAAACAACAATTGTGGATGACAAAAGCCTTAAGACAGCCATAGTTATAGACACAGTTGACAAGGGAATTCTGTTGCTTTTGTGGCACCCGACAATTTAACATAATAATCGTAATTATTACTGACAGCATATCAGAACTCTAGGAATCTCATACAATCCTGGAACACACATTAGCAACACATCTGTGTCAACAGAACCCAAAGGAAGTGAAACACCACCTCAGATTTGACAATGCTTCTTGCATAATTCTAGCATAACAAATAAGCCTAAGAAGCCTAATATATCTCTCTTGGACTTCAAGAACTTAGTATCCAAAAAGTTAATTTGAGGTCCAAAAGGCTCAATATGGAAATTTTACTCTTAGAAAGTTTGCCGAAGTTTTGAAATACTTGATATTACAAAATAGGATCATAGGTCATCTTAAAATAGCCAATCATTTAGCCAAAAGGTAAAAAAAAAATTGTATCTATTATTAATATTACACAAACATTTTGATGAAGAGAAAACCAAATTTTACCTTTGTGTGGTGTATTAAAATGTTAAAGCTAATTGTAATAAAACCTTATACACAAATTTAATTATAATCAGTTTGACCATAAGGTAAGAGTTTCAAAAACCTTTCATGACCTTTTATACTTTTCTATGAAAGAGCAGATGAATGCTCTAGAAAACCCTGTTATTCCGATATATGGGCCTAGTTGCTGGCCTTGCATCAGGGTGCTTCTGAGTGTAATGTCTAATTTATAGAAAATCTCTGAATTTGAGAATCCAGGGTGGGTGGATCGCTTGAACTTAGGAGTTTGAGACTAGCCTGGGCAATATGGTGAAACATTGTGTCTACCAAAAATACAAAAAAAAAAAAAAAAAAAGGAAGGAAAGAAAGAAAGAGGGAGGGAGGGAGGGAGGGAGAGAAGGAAGGAAGCAAGGATGGAAGGAAGGAAGGAGAGAAAAGAAAAGAGAAAGAAAAAAAAATTTCTGAACTAAAGTTCTCCCTCAAACTCCAGCCTTACAATTCTCATGTGCCCACCTCTTCTGTCTAGAGGAAGAGGGGGTACGAGATGGAAAAGGGGACATGTGGGATTGTTGGGTGTAGAGGGATTGAATGGTTTCAATTTCTGGTTTCGTCTCTCATGAAAGCAGTTGGTTTTGATTGTCATCTTGCCCAGGGTCTGAAGATGAGGCATTGATTGGTGTCAATATTCAAGATTTAGCAGGAGAAAGTGCCCTTTTCAGACCCAGGAGTCAAACCTCTGTAAGCTAACAGCACAAGGATTAGTTAACAGGACATTTGCACTGCAGAAAGTTCTATTTCTCTCTCTCATGTCACCAATAAAAACACTGTGATCTGCTGTCAAGTAGTTACTGCCTGCAGCGCTTCAAACGACCGTATTAAAGTGGTTAGGATACTCCTTGCATGGCAACATGTAGTTGCCAGCATTCTAATGACAGAACTATGATCAAAAGCATCAAAAATGTGACAGGACCTATGCCAAACTTTTCAAAGTAAGGCAATTAAATTTTCTCTCCATCATTTAACAAAATGCTAAATGCATATATCAGTTTTGGAAATTCCGTATGAGGATAAATAATCTCATTTTATTTAAATACTAAACAACAAAACAAGAACAAAATGAGAATAAACACACACACATTTCTTTTCAGCTATTTTACTTATTTATTTTGAGACAGAATCTTCCTCTGTCATCCAGGTTGGGGTACGGTGGCAAGATCTCAGCTCACTGCAAACTTCACCTTCGAGTCCCAGGTTCAAGGAATTCTCCTGCCTCAGCCTCCCGAGTAGCTGGAATTACAGGCGGGCACCACCATGCCCAGCTGATTTTTGTGTTTTTAGTGAAGACGGGGTCTTGCCATGTTGGCCAGGCTTCTGGCCTTGAGCTCCTGGCCTTCAGTGATCTGCCCACCTCGGCCTCTCAAAGTGCTGGAATTATAGGAATGAACCACCACACCCGGCCTGCTTTTCAGCTATTTTAAAAGAGCAAAATCACATATTTCCAAGATTGGTTTCTAGATACAGTACTGATTACTGATTAGGTCGCTTTCACCATTAAAATCTTCAAAACAGTGCAACAATTGTACACATTTTATTTTCAAGTACACACATGAAGGCCCAACAGTGATACCAGGCTTGAGATAAAAAATCACTAGAAATTCTCACAACTTTTTTTATTACCACTTCATCCAAGTGAATGTCACTTAATTTTAATAATGCTAAACACAACTTAAGGAGGTTGAGAGAAATCCAATTAATATAATATCCTTAAGGACA